TGTCGTCAAAGGGTTAACATGGATTATTCAGTAGCAGAGGTATATATCAGGAGAAAGAATCAGTGAAACTCGCTTTTTCCATCGAAAGTCGTGTGAACAAGTTCACAGGAAAAAAAGCAATGTTAGCGGATAGGACTCGGGAAAGATGTTGTGATGTAATGAATAATAAAAAAAACCCTCTAGTTAATTTCACTACGGGATGGTAGCAGGTCTTATCAATGAAATCAGCTGAAAATCGCATTCTTCTAAATATGAAGCCATAACTCAAAACTTGAAACTATCGTGCAGAAGCGATTTCGTAAAAGAAATATGGGCATCGTCGACTAAATCTAGGCAAGATCGATTGGATTGCTAAGGAGAACAAACGCTGGCAGTATATTAGCGCCGAAAACTATTTCCATACCGATAGTTGAAAAAAACTACCACTCCATGCAAAATAGGATCTATTTTCAGTGGACGACAGAGCTCTTTCAAATTTGATACTCTAAAGGGAATTGAATTCCCATGGTATTTTCCAGAAATGAAACAACGATGACGAAGATTGCACAAAGGCTCAGCTATGTAAACGCTCGAGAACGAATTCCATTGAAACTGCTCCGGTTGTAGGCAACGCTACAAAAGGAATTCTTATTTCCGATGGAGGAAAAAAAGAAACTCATGAGCCAACAGAGCGACAGAATGACGATTTTTAGTTGAAGACACAAGTTATTGAAGTTTAAAGCTGATGGGAACGCAAAACACTTCAATATTAAATGGAAGTATTACAAGTAAGACAATTGGATAGTGACCCTGAATCTACTCTATGCAGCTTGACAAGGTGAAATCCTTGATGAAATCGATGCAGTTCCCCTTTAACGAATGTATCTTGTGAGAAGAATATGAAAGCTTAACGATATAATTGCAATTAACAAGCTAACAAAAAATCAACGACAGAGTTCTCTATGATTCCGTATCTGAGCGAGCACTGCAGTCAAGCATTGTTCCAATAAGCACAGCTCTAAGAAAACAGAACTAGGAGCCACAATAGAATACATTTTTCCTGAGGACACGTTGTTTTCTGAAAAGGGAGGGGCAAACGGCCAACTTTTTACTACACCTAGAAAGTCAAGGCTAACACTAAAGTCAGTCGAGATAGGTCAAAAAACTAGAAGCAATCCAAAAGTACAAGTTCAACAGTATAAGATTGATATGAAAAGAATTAGGCTTTAAAAACGGGACACAACTGGCTCCAGGCAAATATAGGTGAAATACAGCCTGCTGTGCGTTACCACGCCGTTTCTAGGATGCAGTTTTTGTCCGTTCATAATAAAATAGAAGATGAGGATCGCAGACAAGAAAAGAAAAGAAAACGAGAAAAGAAGCGGATATGAAATTGATGTAGTCCAGCCTGCGCAAAAAACCCTTTCCATCATTCAGTCATAATCTTTCCAATATACTTATGAGAAGATGGAAAATAATAATAAAGAAAATGAATAAATGCCAGACAGTAAATCATGCAGGGATATAAAATGCACCGGGAGATGCCGCACGACCTTATTGAGAAATCCAATGAAGTCTGATTCTTTTTGTGATGTTACCGTACTGCAGCTATACAACTACAGAACGAATAAACAATATAATTGGACGCGGTGTATTTCATACCTCTTTGCCAAGTGCACGATGGCACGCAAGAAAGTAGGCCGCTTTTGAATAGTCTTCCATATTTGTGTAAACCGCTGCCAATGACGTGTATGCCCTTGCCAAACCAGCGTAATCCTTCAGGGTACGTGCTAGAGAAAGATGTCGAAGATAATACCCGGCAGCTGAAATATGTCCGGATCTCAAAAATGGGATAACCGAGCAATTTAATTTGAAGACGAACGCAGCAAAAAGAAAAGCGTCCACACCTGTTGGATAATCCGGTTTCAGCGACGATGCAGTTGCCAAATAGAAACAACATTGTGCTTCTCGCCCTTTATTATTCTTCTCCACAGCCAGATTCAGTGCAGACCTGAATTGGACATATTACGCATACTGTACAGGAAAATGTACGGCTCTCGACGGTGAGTCGTCGAAAAGAAAAAACATACTGATAATACACAATGGCCTGATCAATTTCCGATAGTAAAACGTGAGCATTGCCAAGGTTTATGTAAGCTCGATGTTTAGCATTGTGGTCCCCAAACTGAGATGCAACTGACAAACGCTGAAATACGACAAAGAGTAGAATGCGAAACTTTTCATTAAAAAAAGTATCACCATCCTACAGCTAGAAACTTGCGATAATCTTAAATAAATCATAATCCGTTTGAACCGTAAGTGCTCAAAAATAAGAAACAACCAGATAAACATCTAGATAAGTCCAAGATTTTCAGCATTCCGCCTTCATACTAATTACAAAGTAGAACCGAGTCCCTTGCAAGAAATTGTCAAACAATGCGCAGAATTCCCACCTTGAACAATTCCAGTAGAATTCTATCCAAACAGACTTTCCAAATGGCAATAAAAAATTCATAAACAAACAAAATAGCAAAGTTATCATAATAAATACCTTAGTATGTGAATCTATAGCTCCCTTGTAATCTCCAAGTAAATGTAACACATTTCCGATGCTGCCATAAATCCGGCCAGTGCTCAGATGATCCTCCAGCTTCCTCGAGATACCCGCGCTTCGACTTAAAATCGGTTGTATTTAGGAAATACAAATCTTAGAAAGTTCAATAGAACATAACGCTAAAAGTAATGGCTAACCAGTAATACTGAAAGGCTATGTTCAAATCTTCTCGATAAGAATAGGAAGAACCGGTACTGTGAGAGACTTCTGCATTGGCGTTAGCGTCTTTGTGCGTGAAGGTGCTGGCATTCTCATTCTAAATCAAACCACACTGAAACTAGTAAAAGTTTTCAAAACGTGAAATAGGCACAACGAAGAATACCCCATTCACACTAGTGTTCTGTGCAGTTATCCTCGCTCTAGCGTGATGAATGGTGCCGAGGTTGTAAAGAGCGCGTGCCATGCACTTCTGCAACAGTTCCGTAACATGAGCCTACCAGCTAGACTTGGAGCTCTATCACCGAAAAAAAACAAGAATTACCTGATCTTCTAGTTGTTCTGCAAGCTCTAACTGCCGTTCCGTGAATACGATGGCATCAAGAAAAGAGTTTTGCATTTTCAAAACGTTGCCTATATTTCCACAAGCTTTTGCTTCACCTACTTCATCGTTCATCAATCTGAACACGTCATCAGTTGCAAATGCAGTAAAGAGTGGCCAAAAAACTCACTTCGCTATCATCATATCATAACAATGGTAAGAAAAGGCCTTCTGCATATCATTCGTGGAGTAATACGCATTCCCTAGCTGGCAGTAGATTGCAGATAGAGTTGAAAGGTCATTAGTACCATGCGTGAGTGCATCCAAAAACAAAGGAATAGCTGAAAATGAGAAAAAAATAGCAGAGGAAAACCACATAGTGATAAATCCACCTCAGCCAGTCCATTACCAAACTTGTACGCAAACAAATAGGAGGTTTGAAAAACAAAAACTTTGGAGTGGTTATGTAGACTTTAAGTATGTTATAAATTGCCGCATTTACGAGATTATCTCACTGAATACTGAGCGGAATTGGTGTTGTGGCAAGTGGCACTTGTCACCACGCTCACGGTCCAGGCATCAAATTGTGAATCTTACGCCCTCTCAGACCACATCCTTCCACGGTCATTCAAGTGGTACCACACAAGTCTGGGAGGAAAAATAGCTGACTTGTACAGCCCTCAGAAATCAAAGCCAAATCGCATTCAATATCTCACTACAATTATGAATGGGAACAGAAGCGCGGCGCACCTCAAAACGTAATTGATACACACCAGATGCTTTGCCTTTTTTCTTCTTACAGGAGCCCGAGGAAAAAATCTATGCTGTGAGAAAACCAAGCAAAGAAATAAATGTCAAAAGTCCTTTCAAAAATTTCTTGATTGTATGTTTCGTCCAAAAATGAAAAACACCTTACCATCACGGAACTTTCCTTCGCGACAGAAGCGCTCGCCTTCTTTAGCTAACTCTAAACATGTCCACGATCTTGAAGCTATCTCGGCCTGCTGCATACCACCGAGAAGTGGAGTTGTAAAACTAGGAGCTGAAAAAGTTGGATAAAGCAAAATAAGTTTAAATTGGCTTGATTGGAGCTATTCTCACATCTGCTTCTAGTAAAAGACCATGACGGAGACGAGAGGAACATCGCAAGATAAATAGGACTGTTATACTTGCGTGTGACTTTCCTGACTTTCCACCAAGTGGAACATGAGAAAGAAATGAGAGTTACCTACCACCCCCCCCCCCCCCACCTCCTCAAGCAGATCATGAATCGGGAACTCGTAGGCGGAGGCCGCACACTACCCTCCCTAAGGGAGAGGAAGACGGAAATCAATTTAATTTTCTTTGTCTTCCCGATCAAAATCGTAAAACGAAAGGGCCACAATTGTAAAATATGTATGCGTGTAAAGGGCTGAAAGGAAAATGTCGCAGAAAAGACATAATATGAAGGAATATTGATGGAATATTTCGTTCCCGTATACTGGTGGAAGGGAAGCATACTGGTCCTCGAGCGCGATGTCGAAAGTAGTGGCAACAAGCCTCAAGCTTACTGCCACGACGTTCGACCTGATCAGGGCAAAGATCCCGTAACGCACACCTTGCACTGTATTTTTCCCTATACTGGCCTACGTGATTTGATTGAGTGAGATAAGTTAGAAGCATAAATGGTCGATGTAAAGATGGTGACTTGACAAAACAACCTGAAAATTGTAGCCCCTAATCAAATCAGAAATAGCAACAAGTCATGGATATCTTGAAATAGTTCTGCCCCAATAGTCACCAGAAACCAACATTTAAGTACCGCCATTAGAGTATCTATCAAGCGGTGACCTTTTCTGGCCGGGCAGACTTGGTTAACGTTATGACGAAAAGCGTGACGCCTCTGGGACCTGTAGGGAAACAGAATCTAACCTCTCAACTCTCATAACTGGAGTGAAAAGAGCATGCAGGACATGTTGAGCCGACAAGTGGACGGATTGGAATTGATGGTTTGCGCTCGAAATTAATTCCTTCTATTACAGACGAGCCGTAAAATTAGCAAGTGTGAGAAAAAGCGTCTATTGTCCGAGCGTCGAAGCTCAAGCTGTTGCGTTGAATGAGAAAGAACAGCAACGAAGAACCGATCGGATACAAATACAGCGATATACATAAAACAAGTTTCCAATACGTATTAGCTGTCAACACGCACCACCTAGGTAAGGTAAACAAAAAGTATATACCCTCCCTTTCAAAAAGCGAGAAAGCGTCGGGTGCAGACCATGCACCACAAGTGACGACGGCCTTCACAAAATGTTAATGTTTTCTGCCAATGAAATGATTAGCCTGTTGCAGTATTCTATCAGTTGTCACTTACAACTATCATTTACCAAAAATCAGCTATCACTATGAACAACTACTAACCAGATTTACTTGGAGGCCGTCGTCAGTTGTGGTGTTTGGTCTGCACCCGACACTTTCTCGCTTTTTGAAGGGAGGGTGCATTCACGTAGCGTCAAGGAAAAAGCAGATCTCGCATACGCATATGTACCAGTACTTTACTACCGCCGTCATACCCTCAGAAAAAAGGGTATATTTTCAAGATATGAGATGACTAAATACTCAAGTCATGCCGTGAGTGGATCTCATTTCCTACAGCAAGTACCCTTCGCATAGTATAATAGCTAGTATATATAGCTAATAATAATAGATGTGATTGGTAACCTACCAAGTGGTCCTTTGAGAGCAGGCAACGCATAAGTACACATTCCACAGAAAAGGAAGAATTATAAATGAACTTTCTAGCCCTTATCCCGCATGATATCTTTGCTTATTTTCCTGGATACAGATTATCATGGAACCCGAAAACCGCCGTCACCGACAGAAAAATCCAGCAAAAAAAGAGGATTTATGCAGCATTCGCCGGGCATGCTGTCGGACTTAGTGAACGGACAGTAGAAAGCAGAAACTAAACAACAAAAATGACAGAAACAGGAGGTTAGATAAATGATACCCATAAGGATAGCAATAGTAATATATTAATATATAATAACCATAATAAGGCGCTTGTCCAGTAAGGATAGGAGCACTCTCACCTGATGCATTCAACATCACGACAAACATTTTCTTTTTCTAGACAGTGAAGATATGAAGGATGCGAAAGAAAAAAAATATGAGTAAACGAATGAGATTTTTACCTCGGCCTAGGAGAACGAGTCCCGGCGGAGATATGTATTATTCCCCCCCCCCTTGGTAGAAAACGCCAATAATATTTGGCGCTCTTCCAGTAAGAGCGGGGTTATTGCGGTGCAAAGCGCAACGCCTTTGAGAGCCTATTCCAGTAAGGGGGCATGCGGTTCAGAGCACTCAACGTGCTCCAACCCATGGATAGCATATTCTCCTAGTGTAATGGTTTAGAACCAAGCCATAGAAGGGACAGAACTGGGTTCGGGAGCATTCTTCGTTTTCTCCAGGAAACTTCCTCCCCTCCCCAGGGTTAACCTAGCTGTTCACTAGGTAAATATTACTTTTCCAAGACGTTTGAAACAAAAGAACACATACATTACCTTAAAAAACCAGAAGAAACAACGTAGGAATAAAGCTGATAGCAGTTCGTAACTTTAAAGGACTCCTTGAGCCAAATTGGCATTAGAGCAGATTGTGCACCGCAATGCCCCTTTTTACAGGAACAGACCCGCATTCAAATACATGGTACATTTTTTTCATTAGCGCTCAATTAGGACTATATTCAACACGTTGACGAAAGCACGCGCTTTGGCTATTTTGCCTGTGAAGGACCATTGCGATTTTGCGGGCAGACGAAGGTCTTAGATCATTCAAGTATATTTTGAGTGGTAAATATATGAAACATGATTGGCCGATGTCAGACTTTGCGATTGGAGCGATTTTGCACCAATTGCAGGAGCGACGGGAGATTTACACCGCCGACCACCGATACACACGGCGCCGCTCGGGTAAATCTCCCGTCGCTCGCAGTGTGAGCGTCGCAAAATCTGACATCGGCCATTGATACAAATTATGCCAGTAATTTTATATGCGAACAAGCTAACCGGGGTATGGTGTTAAAAAGTTCGTTCTTGAAAGTGTGAAAATAAAATAACAATGACAATTTTGTCAGACCTAGCTGCAGTGAACATCAAAAGCAAGCTGAACCTCGACTGTTTCAATCGAAGCACACATCTTGTCATATCTAAGGTTCCGTATCTACTTCTACTACTATTTAAACCTTCACATTCATGAAAAAAAAGTAAACGAAAAATTTATTGAACTGAAGATTTCGTATGGTTCAGAAATCCTCCTCTAAATTAAGCATACGTGACCATTCTGTGGACCACTATGTTTGAAGATATGTAGGTACATGTATTGAATTGTAACGTAATGTCGCAGCGTTTGTGTTTGAACATGTGGATTCACTCAACGCATGTTTCTTCGCTGAGATGTGTATGGGCGCACGCATAGTCGGTCGGACGACAGCAACGATCGTAACTGTCGCACAGCATTGGATGCGTATCGATCGTCGGACTTGCCTGAGTATTCGACGATTAGATGCAGTTAGACAGTCAGACAGTTGCGATCGTTGCTGTCGGACGACCGACTATGCGTGCGCCCTATGGGATTCGAAGGTATTTTCTGCTCTGTTATTTTTAGATTTCTTCACTATCATAAATGTAAGAGCTAGAAACTCCAGGCGACAGAAAGCGGCGTTTTCGACAGCTGCTATTCTTGTCTTTCATAAAGGCAAAAACTAACAAAGCAGAACTTCTTCAGTTTATAGCACTCACTGACCATCGGCGCTCAAGCCCTTGAGGGGGAGGCATTCAAAACAGGGCCTTGGATAAGTAACACTAGGACTAAGCCCAGGAGAGGGGAGGAACGCTAGGGGACACAATTAGCTCACACCCTCCGCCCTAGAATCCTTTCCTTTCCTTGAGGCTTAGCCCCAAGTGCTGTAAGTAGCTCACTCACTTGAATGTCCCCCCCCCCCCCCGACATGAGTGTCTGGACCATCTTCCAATCGACCTTACACATCTTGCTTAATTTCAAGTACTTACGTCGAACAACTTCTGAATAATGGCACTCTTAACACAAGTTCAATATCTTTTCTGCTTCAAATCCAGTAATTCTTGCGGAAGGGAATAAAAATTGTAAAAATGACGAAAGGAACATCGCTGATTAGTCTCACGTTCTTATGTATTTATTTATTTATTTATTTGAACGCTGCAGAAGGCAGTCGTGGGAAACAACAACAATGGCAACAACACATCAACGTTTGTATAGTTTTAAACGTTTGTGCATATGCAAACGCTGCGATATCGTCCAAAATCTTTTGGCCATTTGGCATTACTTCTAATGCACTTAGTGTTGGCCAATTTTAATAGCTACGTAGATGACCGGTCTACAAGTGAACACCATAAAATAGTTGAATACGTATGAAATACTAAAATACTCGACTCGAAAACAAATGCACATGAAGAATCAGCTTGAATCAGTTAACCAGTTCCGCTTCTACAAGACATTTTTGTGTTTTTGAGGAATCGATATAGCCGGAAGAAGAACTTCCTGAAGATCTTACTGCTTTGACGTGCTTCCCATCATCCAATTTTAAAAACAACATCAAAGTTCCATGAAAATGTAACCAATAGGTTTTAAACAATTAGGAGCGATTTGGCACATAAACAAACCACCAGAATGTTTCAAAACACCATCAGAAGGAACTCATAGAGTAGTGTAGAAAGAAAAGTAACCAGAAAACCAATGAAACCAACGGAAAAGCAGTGAAATGCACTGGCTAGTGACGTAGCTCAATATTTGGCCGAGCTCAAACCCGGCGTTGTCAGTCTACGTCTCTGCCTCGTATTGAGACTCTGTTTCTCTGGCACTCTCGCTGAATGTGACGACGGTTCAAAATTGCATGTGCTGGAGCGGCTCATCACCTCGTCGCCGCTAATTTGTGCTGCTTGTAAATCTTCCGAGCATTTAATCATTCTTCCGCATAAGCTTTCAAACGTTTAAT